CCCCCCCTTAGAGTACGTACATTTTATTAGTCTACCCCCCTTTTTCATAAAAATTAAAATAATTATGTTTTAAATAAAATTAAATATTTACTTAAGGAGTGTGTAGGATAAAGTCAAATTTAAATTTGGTGTATGTTTATAAAGTACGTACTTTGTATAATACCTCCCCCCCCTCCCCATCGTACAAAACCGTACATAATAGCAAATCCCCTCCCCCCCCCTTCGGGATGTACGTACTTTTTGAACGGCCCCTTACTAATGCAGACTTATTAATTCACTGTCGCCTCAAATCGAAAACAAAAATCTATTTATAACTTTTTATTCTAAATTTCCAACTGCTAAATGTTTCTGTTGCATGGTTGTATTGATTCTCATAAATTTGTTGGCGACTCGTAATCGCCAAGGTATTCTTTTAAACCCATATTGATATGCTAGTTGGCTATGATATATTATGATAAATCGCCAAATTATGGATCTCCTACCCATACTTTCTACGTCCGTTGGGAATAATTATATTCACTTGGAATTCAAAATTTGTGGTGACTAGGAGTCCCCTTTGGGAACGCTCCTGTCCCAGTCATCCTAACGGTTTTAAAAGATATGCAATCGTAACAAAAATGTGAACAAAAACTTCTTAATGTGGAAGTTATATTTCCTTGATCCCTTCAAGGGATTTATTTTTGATAATTTGTAATTATCATGATGATTTGTATTGATGGCCATTCTCCATAATCTTCAAGAAATATTGCTTAATAAATTGGATTTTCATATTCACGATTCATATTAATTTCCTGGAGACTTTCATTTTGTTTCATTCATTTACTTTTATTAATGGCCTAAATGAACAATCATGAATTCCACTCTACGAATATTGGCGGCTACTGACGGAGGACCAAACCTCCCCCACACATACATAAATTAATGTTTAATCATTTTCAACGTTTAGTTTAGCCTCGACTAGAGCCCCGCTCCCTTATTGACTTTTATAAGAAAAGATTTAAGTAATGATGTAAATTTGTAAACAGTAAACTCTCTACAAATTAGTGTGTTATATTTTCATTCATACCTTTTTTTTTATTAATGGTCACAATGGTTTTTTTTTATTAATGGTTTTTTTTTATTAATGGTTTTTTTATTAATGGTGTACCTCTTTTTTAATCTTTTTTAATAATTGTAAAGCATATAAATATGCCCTGGAATTTAACAACAAAAAATAGAGAGTAGGAAAAATATTTAAATCAACTCATATTTTATTTTAGATGCTAAGAAGAAAACTATTTTTCGTGATTCGACATTATTAAGGAAAAACATCCATGTATTTTATAGAATTAAATTTTAAAAAAATATAATGAAATGATCAAGAAGAATTTCAAAATTTCAATTACAAATTATGTAAGAAAACTTAAAAACTATCGCCTAACTAAAAGTTTAGCCTCTTCATTATCTCGGTTCACATTTGTGGTCCTGCGATTCTTAGCTTTTGAAAACACGCTATAATAAAATATGTAGTTTTACCTTCACTAAACATTCGTAGGTATTTAAGCTTTCTGGGAGTTCCACAATGTATGCAGAACATGTAACCGTGTTGAATTTCACGGAAACAAAAGTCATTTTCGTAAAATGACGCTAAATCCACGTGCTCGAATGTAACTAATATTAAATATTATATAACTTAGTTATTCTGAAAATACTATTTTTTTCTTTTGACTTAGTAGTTTTGTTATCTGTATGAAGCTTTTAAATTTAAAAAATAATGCAGGTCCACGTATGTATACCTTGGTACGTATGTCAAATTTTATGACAGCGTAGTAGTCAAATGAAATTTCACAGTATTACAAGTATTCAATTTCATATCTATTTAGCTATATTTTTATATGTATTTTTCTTAATTGTTTTATATAATGATACATACACACATTTAACAACTAACTTTTTGTGTTTTTTTTCTCCTTAATTTTGAAATTTTACCCCCAAGAATTAATTTTCTTTATTTTTGAATATTAGATTCGATTCAATAATTATTTATTTTGCGTGGTTTGCATATGTAAAATAGTTTTGAAGCTGAGATTTCATGCATAAGGTAATGTTAGTAATACATAGGCATTTTATTTAGATTTGCATCTCATCGTAATTTTTTTTTCTAAATAATTATTAAATCTATTCATCACATTTAAATAGAGCATAATACAACCTTTTGCACGTTTGTACATAATTTAGGTGCAATTTAGCATTTTAAATATTTATACTACTTTACTTAGTTAAAATCCGAGGTCAACGTATGCGTAACTAAAATTATTAGTCCTTTGGTATTCTAATTCATATTCTGATGATCTTAATATTACTTATGGCAGTAAAATACAATTTTGGAACAGTAAAGTATGTTTTGCTATATTCCTCTATACTTCAGTAGAGAAGAGGTCATGTTCATAAGAAGCAAGATGCTGTGTATGACATGGAAATATTTAGTCACACAAACATTAGTTAAAAATGTATTTATTAATATTAGAAAAACACAATTTTATTGTAAAATCTTATCAAAACACATTCATTTTCTAAAATGTTTACAATTAAGTCATTTTTGTGAACAGTATCTTGTATACGGATCAAAAATATCTACATACTGGTAAATAAAATATTCTCCTTACATTATGCATATTAAAAAGTATACACAAAATTAAAATCTCATTCAACGAAAATTTAAATAAAGTGTAGACGTTAATTTTAAATAGAAAACTTGATTCACTTTTGCTTTAATCTCGATTCCTTAGTACCTCAAACTTCAGTATGGTAATTGTCTTGGAATCAGAGATCAACAGTTCACATTACTGATTTGCACAAGTAGTTTCACATTGTTTTGTGCCAAGTTGTTCTTTGACACAGAATATTTCTATGAGCAAGCTGCTGGAGTGAAAAGTTAGGACAATTAATTTCTGAATTTGGTTTTAATAAAAGCTGGCAGAGGCACTAGATGAAGTATTGTGTTTAAAACCCACATACCACCCACAAAAACGAAGCACAGACCAAAGTTCATCCAGTACTGCAAGTCTGAATCTTCAATTCTACCACTTGCTGGATATTTTTGAAGTAAGTAATGGTTTCCATCAATGTAAATACAGCTACCGGGAATGTTGCTGTTGCACGGCAATGCTTCGGTTCCATTTAAATAGTTCGCGCGATCCAACCTCGGGTTGAAAGAGAACTCGTTTTCTTGCAAAAACGCTCCTGCATAACGGTAAAGGACACCATAAGTCAGGTAGTAAAACCACTCTGGAAGTGCAGTTAGACTCCTAAAAGAAAGGAAATTTTTATGTTAGTTAAACGTATGCATCAAGTAATTGAAAAAGTTGGTGTCTGATTTGAAAACAAATTAAATACAACACACTTTCATTAAAAAATTTAAATGATATTGAATCATCTATGATGTATTTTTCAACATTTCCTTTTACTGCTTCGCACCGCTTTCTACATTTTTGAATTGAGAAAAACGTTTGAACAGAAATAGCGTGGTTCTACTTTAAAGAAAGCCACAGAATCAATATATCGAGAAGATAATGTGAAAATGTAAACAAACAATAAAAGGTTTCTAAAAACTTCTCTTTTTTAGAAATTCATAATATCAAGTAGGTGAAATGTAACCGTGGTCACATATTTACGAAATATTTTTATGAGGTCAAGTGCTTAACGCGTCTAAAATGAAAGGTTTGACAGAGCAGAAAATTGTAAAGAATCGAGGAAATGACTCATTTATCACAATAAATTTGTTTACTGGAAAATAAATTTGTACATAATTTACATAGGATCTCATAATATAATCTTTAGATCGATCTAGTATTGGTAAAGCAAAATTGTATCGGCATGTAGACATTTTTGACTTATAGACTATTTACAGGCTTTTTAGAGCAGAACTTTAATTTATTTGCAGTTGATAAAAGGAAAATCGGGCTTCATATTGTTTTCTAAAACATTTTATTATGTTGAAAGAAAAGGCTGTTTAATTTTATAATTGCGCAGAGCATTCTGGAAATTTAAATTGAAACATAATTTTTTAAAAACATAAGCTTGCAAAATATAAAGTTTAATAAATTAATAAAGTTAAGTTTAATAACTTCATTAACTTAATATTTTGCAAAAATATAAAATGTAACTATCCCTTTATTTAATGTACAAAAAAATTTCAAGTGCAGCATTAAAAATATGCTGGCTGCGCTTAATCGAGAAACATGTACATTTCGGTATCTTTACTGATTTTCTAATACCAGTTTGACAATTTAACTTAAAATCGATTATTGATCCTTATATCTGTTGTTGAAAGCAGAGTTTCAACAGAGACTATCTGTTGCAAAGGAGTAAGAACGTGAAAAAAATTGTCTGTACACCAAAGAAAAGTTCTCTTACCTAACAGTTCCACNAAAATTAACAGTCCTGCTTAAACTAACATCTTACAACCTAGTATAAGTCGTTTGTCTTCTAATCTGCAACAACAGAAGTCACACTGATGTTACTTTAAGTTGAATTACCCTTGAATTGAGGCATTGCAAAATATGTTTTTTTTTCATAGTAAATAAAGAGTTTTGATTTGATGGTATTTAGCATTATTTTCCCAATAATCACGAAGTCAAAATTATTTGGCGGCATGTTCATGACCTCATTAACAATTTTTTGAAAAAATGGCACATTTGGTGCATAAAGGTTCGCCACCCCTGATCTATGATGTATTTTTCAACATTTCCCTTTACTGCTTCGCACAGTTTTCTACATTTTTGAATTGGGAAATACCTTTGAACAGAAATAGCGTGCTTCTGCTTTAAGGAACGTCACAGAATCAATATGACGAGAAGATAATGTGAAAATGGGAACAAACAATAAAGGGTTTCGAAATTCATAATATCAAGTAGATGAAATGTAACCGTGATCACATATTTACAAAATATTTTTATGAGGTCTAGCGCTTAACGCGTCCAAAATGAAAGGTTTGTCAGAAGCAGAAAATTGTAAAGTATCGAGGAAATGTCTCCTTTACCACAATAAAATTGTTTACTGGAAAATAAATTTGTACATAATTTACATAGAATGTACTAATGTAATCTTTAGATCCATCTAGTATTGGTAAAGCAAAACTGTATCGACATGCAGACATTTTTGACTTATAGAGTATTTACAGACTTTTTAATGCAGAACTTTAATTTATTAATAGTTGATGAAAGGAAAGTTGGGCTTCATATTGTTTTCTAAAACATTTTATTATGTTGAAAGAAATGGCTGTTTAATTTTATAATTGCACAGAGCATTTTAGAAATTTAATTTGAAACATAATTTTTTTAAAATATAAGTTTGCAAAATATAAAGTTTAATAAATTAATAAAGTTAAGTTTAATAACTTCATTAACTTAATATTTCGCAAAAATATAAAATGCAAATATCCCTTCATTTAATGTACAGAAAAATTTAATGTGCAGCATTTAAAATTTGCTGGCTGCGCTTAATCGAGAAACATGTACATTTCGGTATTCTTACTGATTTTCTAATACCAGTTTGACAATTTAACTTAAATCGATTATTGATCCTTATATCTGTTGTTGAAAGCAGAGTTTCAACAGAGACTATCTGTTGCAAAGGAGTAAGAACGTGAAAAAAATTGTCTGTACACCAAAGAAAAGTTCTCTTACCTAACAGTTCCACTTGCAAATGTGATATAAATAATAAGTATATAAATGCTTGTGATGAATGATGTGTATGAAGACTTAATTATTATCATCAAAGATACAGTTTGTTGCTCAGCGAAAATATAGACAGTCCAAAGAACGGCACAAAAAGTTATCCATCTCTCCCATTCTTCTCTCAAATTTCCACCTCTAAAATTAGAAAAAGAAAAGAAATGAGGTTTAGTAAATAATATAGAAAGTTATGTGCATTAATTCAAGCAATTGAAAAGAATATAAACAAAAGGCTAAATAATTTGATTTAGTATTAGGTGCAAATATAGTTAAATTTTAAAGAAACTATGCTGCAGGCTAAATCACATATTTATGTTGTTCTGTAAACCTTAATGTGCATTTTTAGAAGTCTTTTTAAAAATGAAGTTAAACTACGTATAAGATATGAAGTAAAGTTTGTTGATTGAAGATGTTGATGATGTATTTTCAGTTGTCCATATTTTGTTTCAGAAGGATATAGATGCTCTAGAATAAGTATACTGAGAATTATAAATATTATTTAATCATAACTGATTCTTCATTAAATCTACCGTTTAAAGAAAAATAAAATATGATTAAATCATAAAAACTTTCATTTTTCCTAATATGGAGCACCAATAAAATAAAACTCATCATTTTCAATATGCATATGAATTTATAAAATAATTAATTTTGAAAACTGACCGGAGGGTGTGCCCGCAACACAAAGCCCCACAGGACACCTCCGCCAATCAAGCAATCGGGGGCCACAATTAAAAACACAAATCAAATGGCGGGCCGCAACTTTATCAACATTTTATGTAGGACTCTTTTATGTTTGAAGGAACTTTAAATATAACTGTCAGTCTTTTACCAAGTTGTACAAAACAAAAGTATTGAATTACAAATTAAAATAAGAAGTAGATTTTTAAAAATATTTCATTTTTATTAATAATATTTTAAAAAATATTAAATAAATAAAAATTCGGGTTACAATAAATTTAATGTGCACCAATGTATTAAGCAATTAATGTGCAACAGATATCTAATTGTTAAGATATAAAACTTTAAAAAGGTTGATATTAAAACTTACATAGTAGCACACAAAATATTCAATAAAAAAATTGAGGCTTGTCTGCTGCAACCACCAGAGAATAGACATTTGCATTTTAAATTTAAAATTTACAAATGTGTGTGTAAATATTTTCGTTCAAAATGTGTGGTTTCAAAAAGTTAAATCGGATAATTTCTTTGAGAAAATTTCTGATACGCACATGCTAAATTATATTCACAAAATAAAAAATAAATAAATAAAAAAGAGCAACATACACGATTATTTTTGTATTTGAATAAATATTTTCTTGGATGCAAAACCTGAGAAATAATTTCTCTGCACAGTTGGTATGTTAAATTTCATAGAAACGAAGAGATTAGGTTTTTATTAACGAGAAAAGCATTTTAAATCCATATAGATTTTTTACGAAAATTGTCCGCAAAAAAATGACAACTAATATATTTTAGTTCGCTGGCCAGAAAAAAAAGGCTTCGCGGGACGGATGCGGCCCCCGGACCGCCAATTGAAAACCCCTGGGATAGAGCGTTCGCCTCCCAATGAGGTGAGCCGGGCTCGAATCCCACAGATGACTGGCTGATTCAAATTCAGCACCCGGCTCATACCGAGTACAGTGCTGACGTAAAATATCCTTAGTGGTAGACGGATCATGGGTTAGAGTCCCCTTGCCGTCAGGCTAACCGTTGGAGTTTTTCCTCTCCATGTAGCGCAAATGCTGGTTAGTTCCATAAAAAAGTCTTCCACGAAGGCAAATTTCTCTCAATACTTGATCCAGGAGAACCCTTGTCTTCTGGACTGAATGCAAAATTACAAGGATGCGGAGTTGAACATTGGTAGTCGTAAATCCTAAATCGGGTCGGCTGTTCAACAACGCTTATAAGATAAAACAAATAAAAAAATTCTTAAAAATAAAATGTGTCAGGCATATTTAGAGGGAATCTCTAAAAGGGAATTTTATTCTGTACGCAATTCAAGGTCATGACATTAAAAGATTACCGATTATATAAATAATTTTTATTTATTGAACAAAGGATAAAGTATAATAATAATTTAGTTTTTTTAAAATGTAAGAAAATATGCTATGCATATCTCAGTATAACATAATAATTGTAAACTAATATATCAAAGAAATAAAAGAAAACAATGTGTTTTCTAAATCTGATAAAGCAGTATTAAGCAAGACAGCAAGGCAAAAATTTACAGTACTCACGCATAAATTATGGTTGCTCCAGCAGTTACAGTAATTATGCTGAGAGGTAAACTGTAAAATATACTGGACAGAACAAAAAGTGGACCTTTGTAGATTCCTTCTCTGCTCTCTTGATAGTAGCGATTGCGATGAGGGGCATCTGGATAAAGAAAAAAATTATTAAATACAAAACGACGCATAATCTGATGCATTTTTCACAGGAAGATACATATGTAAAAAATAACAGATTATATGGGAATCTCGACTTCCATATTTGAATGCGAAGAAAAAAATTTCCTGACCAGTTAATTACTTCATTTTTTTTTATACCATCAAATATCAAAATTGTGCAATCAAGTACCATCCAATAACCAAGTGAATATTAAAATTGAATTACAAATCAAGCATCAAGTGAATATGTGCTAATCATTTGGCTGACAATATAATATAAGTCTACAATTTCTTATTGTCAGGCAATGTGAAAGAATATCTTGATCACGAAAGATAAATTTCAACCATCGTCTTATGACTCTGAAAAGCACAATCTGAAGAGGAAAAAGTTTTTTAATGCATCCTCGCCAAATACGATTGAATTCGACATCAAAGATTTTTTACTTTTATTCATTTTTACAGTTCCTTCGTTTAAATTTTTGTACTATTATAATTTCATTCATTTCTGTGAGATTGAGTTTCAAATATATCTTTATTTTCAGATCTTTTAAGATTAAAAAAACAAGCTACATTATAAAAAAAAAGAAATCGATATCCTTTTCGTTTAAAAACATGTTATGTCTTGAAAACTTAATTTTTTCATGACAGGATGACGCATACAAAGAAAGAGCTTAATTGAGAAAAATGTTTCATAAGTTCTACTTGTTCTTGCTTATCTGTAAATGTTCCTGCTTATGAGGTCCCAGAAATTTTCATAAATATTAAGAGATCTCCACTCCAAAAGTTAAGAAAACCCTTATTTAAAACATGGGTAGATGTTTGCATAAAACAAGGTTCGCTTTGTTCTTAAGTTTTTCTTGATTTTATCATTATGACTTTTTTAGTATAACCGAATGTCTAATTTTTTGGGATAAAATTACATATTTAGCAGATATATTATGAAATAGTCTTAGAAAGTAAATTCCATTGCAACTTTTTATATACATTACGATGCCACCTTCTTCAGTATCTAGTTCAACAAATTTTGTAATATTTTTCATGTGAATAAAAACGCTAAATATGTTAGTTTCATAATGCTTATTTAAGTGAATTATACAAAAATTCCCTAAATGTACAAATTTTAATAACACAATGAAACTTTTTTGAAAACAGGAGTGAAAATAATATAGAGTTGTAAAAAACAATCTGGTCAGACGTTTCTATCATTTTCAACTGTTCTAAGCAATGTTAGCAAAGTCGTATACACGTGATTTTGCTTAATTATTAAAAAAAACTTCAAATTAATTATTAAGTTATTTTTTTCCACAGAAATTTTGCTTGCAAACTTTCTTGTAATAATATTGTTCTGAAAAATACTTTGTGGAGTAAACCAGATTTATATTTATTTTAAATTTTAGGAATGATTTTATTCATAACAATTTTGCATCACTGTAATAATTTCATGCAACCCATAATTAGAACTTGTTTCTTGTATTAAATTTGCCTTATTTTATTAAGATAATGCTCTTAAATTCACAAAACTGTCACTTAAAACCTTTTTCTACTTAGATCTTCAATTATGTGATAACGGATTTGGATATTAAAAAATACACATTTATTAGTAGTTGTTACTCATCGCTTATGACTAAAAACAAAGAAAATGTTAGCTCAATTATGTAAAGAGCTCAAAGTTACTCAAGAGCTGTTACGATAGATATTTACCATGTGCATTCATGACAATTTTGCATCACTGTAATAAATTCATGTAACCCATGATAATAATTTGTTTCTTGTATGAAATTTTCTTGATTTCATTAAGATAATGTTCTTACATTATCAAAAATGTCGCCTAAAACCTTTTTCTGTTTAGATCTACAGTTATGAGATTACGAAATTGAATATTCAAAATCGCGCATTCATTGCAAAGATACGTAATTGTTACTCATTGCTGATGACTGACAATAAAGGAAAAATTTAACTCAATTATGTAAAGAGCTCAATGTAACTCAACTGTTACACAAGAATTGTATTCATAGATATTTACCAATTTAGTACCACTGCAATAATTTCATGTAACCCATAATAATAACTTCTTTCTTGTATTAAATTTGCCTTATATTTCAATAACCCACTGGCAGTTTTGCACCTAAAAAGTCGGATTTTAACCTGCAGTCTTCTCCGCACAGCAAAACAGGTTTTTCTATGTAATTAAATAAAGAAACAGTGCATTGGGGAGAAACTTTATCCCAATTTTGCCCATTTGTTAAACCGCCAGTGGGTAAAGCTAATGTAGATTCACAAAAAAGGTAACTTAAAACTTTCCTCTACTTAAATCTTCAATTATGAGATTGCAGAGTCGATCAAGCATTGATTGCGTGAATGCGTTGCTTTTGCTCATTGCTTAAAACCAAATACAAATAAAATGTAATTCAAGTAAATTGTGTATGGATAGATATTTACCATGGATTACTATATTTTATTATTTATTTATTGTCAAATAAAAAATAATGTGTCATCATTTCTTTTTATACTTACGTGTTATAGCTGTGATAGCGGCAGATAGAAATGATACTCCCACCAGAGAATTAAGAATGAGACCGTTTCGAGTGAGGAAGCTGTGCTGAAAGTCGCTGATTTGAAAGTAGAAAAGGAGAAGGAGTGTAAAAAAGAGTGGAATCAGGAGAATCCTCAAAAACACTTCTCTCAAAGCTCTTGAATTGCAGTTAAATAAAATACGGAACCTCCGACTGAAAAAAGAAACATTTAGTTAGCGTGATTATAATTCTCCAAACATTTGTAAATTGAATAAAATAATAAAATAATAAAATAAATAAATGAATAAATTTGTTTTTAACTATTTTGTGAGTACAGACAACACTTACTAATCGGTTGCTGGGTCAGTTGTTTCAGAAAAAGTAATTAGAATAGCCAATGAATCTTTGTTTAAAACTGGAATTTTAATTATTTTCTTATGGTTCTATGAATTTTTTTTAATAAAGGCTTAATATATGTTAGTTATAACAAATCAAAAACAATTAGAAACAAATACGGCACAAGTTTTAAACACTAAAAACTTAAAAATCACAACATATATTTCAGAAAAAGTAGTTCGTACCTTGTACTTTTGCTTATAACTGGAATTTCAGTTATTTTTTATGGTTATATAATTTTTTTTTTAAGGGATAAATATATAAGTTGATTACATTAAATTTAAATTAATTAGAAACAAATATCACATGAGTTTTAAACACTAAAAGCTTACAGCATAATAAAAATTTGNTTGCTAAGTTTTTGAAAGACCCATTTATATCCAGCTGCTCTGAAAACTCATCTGAAGCATTCATTAAATTCTGCTCTTTACGTGAATTTAGGAATTTTTCACAAATTTTAGTTCTTGAGTAGCTCAGGGGATACAGCGTTCGCCTTCCAATGAGGTGAACCGGGGTTGCCTGGTCGATACGGGTGGATGATCAAGCAACTCCGAGCTAAATTTCGTCAGAACAGCTTCTGTGCGTCGAGCCGTTTGTGGACGAGCATTGTCATGGAGGAGCACAACACCTGCAGTAAGCATTCCACGCCTCTTGTTTTGAATGGCACGTCGCAATTTCACAGTAACGGTTAGCGTTTACTGTTTCACCACGTGGTTCCATTCACAGGCGGCAGAGTTCTACGACAGAGGGATACAAAAGTTGATCCCACGATACGACAAGTGTCTCAATTCTGGTGGTGACTATATTAAAAAATAGCTGAAACATTGCTGTACTTGTTGCTAAGTTTTTGAAAGACCCATTTATATCCAGCTGCTCTGAAAACTCATCTGAAGCATTCATTAAATTCTGCTCTTTACGTGAATTTAGGAATTTTTCACAAATTTTAGTTCTTGAGTAGCTCAGGGGATACAGCGTTCGCCTTCCAATGAGGTGAACCGGGGTTGCCTGGTCGATACGAATTCCGCATCCGCTTTGCACCGACCACAGTGCTGACATAAAATATCCTCAGAGGTAGACGGATCATGGGTTAGAGTCCCCTTGCCATCAGGCTAACCGTTGAAGTTTTTCATGATTTTTACTCTACATGTAGAGCAAATGCGGGTCAGTTCCATAAAAAAAGTCTTCCAAAAAGGCAAGTTTCTCACAATACTTGATCTAGGAGTTCCTTTGTCTTCTGGATTGGGTGCAAATTTACAAGGATACGGAGTTGAACATTGGTAGTCGTAAACCCTAAATTGAGTCGGCTGTTCAACAACGCTTATAAAATAAAATAATTTTTTTAAAAAAAAATAAAATAAAATAATTTTTTTTTTAAAAAATAAAATGTGTCAGGCATATTTAGAGTGAATCTCTAAAAGGGAATTTTATTCTGTACACAATTCAAGGTTATGACATTAAAAGATTACCGATTATATAAATAAGTTTTATTTATTGAAAAAAGGATAAAGTATAATAATAATTCAGTTTTTCTTAAATGTAAGAAATATGCTATGCATATTTCACAGCATAACGTAAGCATGCATAACATAATGATTGTAAACTAATGTATCAAAGAAATAAAAGAAAGCAATGTGTTTTCTGAATCTGATAAAGCAGTATTCAGCAAAGCAGCAGGGCAAAAATTTACAGTACTCACGCATAAATTATAGTTGCTCCAGCAGTTACAGTAATTATGCTAAGAGGTAAACTGTAAAATATACTGGACAGAACAAAAAGTGGACCTTTGTAGATTCCTTCTCTGCTCTCTTGATAGTAGCGATTGCGATGAGGGGCATCTGTATAAGGAAAAAAAATTATTACATACAAAACGACGCACAATCTGATGCATTTTTCACAGGAAGATACATATTTAAAAAGTAACAGATTATAATGGGAATCTCGACTTCTATATTTGAATGCGAAGAAAAAATTCTCCTGACCAGTTAATTACTTCATTTTTTAAAATCCATCAAATATCAGCATCTTACAATCAAGTACCATCCAATAACCAAATGAATATCAACATTTAATTACAAATCAAGCATCAAGTAAATATATGCTAATCATTTGGCTGATAATATAATATGAGTCTATAATTTCTAATTGCCAGGCAATGTGCAAGGATATCTTGATCACAAAAGATGATTCTCAGCCATTGTCTTATAACTCTGAAAAGTACAGCCTGAAGTGGTAAACTGTATAACATACAAAAACAATGCATAAACTGATGCATTTTACACAGGAAGATGCTTTATTAAAATATAACAGAATTATAATGTGAATCTTGAATTTCATATCTGAATGCAGATGGAAAAAATTCTCCCGACAGATTTATGATCTCATTTTTCAAAAAACATAAAATAACAAGTGAATATCAACATCGAATTACAAGTCAAGTCTGAAGTGATTATATGCTAATCATTTGGCCGACAATACTATATACGTCTATAATTTCCAATTGCCAGGCAATTTGGAAGAATGCCTTGATCACGAAAAATGATTTTTAGCTATCGTCTTATGACTATAAAAAAGTTTTTTAATGCACCCTCGCCAAATACGATTGAATTCGACATCAAAGATTTGTTACTTTTATTCATTTTTACAGCTTCGTTTAAATTTTTGTACTATTATAATTTCATTCAGCTCTGTAAGATTGAGTTTTAAATATAATTTTCTGATCTTTAAAGATTAAAGAAACAAGCAACATTCTAAAAAAAGCGAAAAAATTGATATCCTTTTCGTTTAAAAATATGTTATGTTTTGATAACTTAATTTTTTCACGACGACGCATAATAAGAAAGGGCTCAATTTAGAAAAATGTTTCGTAATCTCTGCTTGTTCCTGCTTATCTGTAAATGTTCCTGCTCATGAGGTCCCAGAAAATTTCGTAAATATTAAGAGATTTCCACTGCAAAAGTTAAGAAAACCCCTTTTCAAAACATGGTTAGACGTTTGCATAAAACAAGGTTCGTTTTGTTCTTAAGTTTTTCTAGATTTTATCATTATGACTTTTTTATTATAACAGAATGTCTAATTTTTTTTGGGTAAAATTACATATTTAGTAGATATATTATGAAATAGTCTTAGTAAGTAAATTTCATTGCAAACTTTTTATATACATTGTGATGCCACCTTCTTTAGTATCTAGTTTAATAAATTTTTTAATATTTTTCATATGAATGAAAACACTAAATATGTTAGTTTCATAATGCTTATTTAAGCAAATTGTACAAAAATTCTCAAAATGTGAACATTTTAATAACACAGTGAAACTCTTTTAAAAACAGGAGTGAAAATAATATAGAGTTGTAAAAAATAATCTGGTCAGACATTTTTATCATTTTCAACTGTTCTAAGCAGTGTAAGCAAGTCATATACACATGATTTTGCTTAATTATTAAAAAAACTTTAAATTAGCAATTAAATTATTTTTTTTAGATGAATTTTGTTTGCAAACTTTCTAGAAGTAATATTGTTTTGTAAAATTCTTAGTGGAGTAAACCAGATTTATATTTATTTTAAATTTTAGGAATGACATTTTTGCATCACTGTAATAACTTCATGTAGCCTATGATAATAACTTCTTTCTTGTATTAAATTTGCTTTATTTCAATAACCCACTGGCAGTTTTGCACCTAAAAAGTCGGATTTTAACCTGCAGTCTTCTCCGCACAGCAAAACAGGTTTTTCTATGTAATTAAATAAAGAAACAGTGCATTGGGGAGAAACTTTATCCCAATTTTGCCCATTTGTTAAACCGCCAGTGGGTAAAGCTAATGTAGATTCACAAAAAAGGTAACTTAAAACTTTCCTCTACTTAAATCTTCAATTATGAGATTGCAGAGTCGATCAAGCATTGATTGCGTGAATGTGTTGTTTTTGCTCATTGCTTATAACCAAATACAAAGAAAATGTAATTCAAGTAAATTGTGTATGGATAGATATTTACCATGGATTACCATATTTTATTATTTATTTATTGTCAAATAAAAAATAATGTGTCATCATTTCTTTTTATACTTACGTGTTATAGCTGTGATAGCGGCAGATAGAAATGATACTCCCACCAGAGAATTAAGAATGAGACCGTTTCGAGTGAGGAAGCTGTGCTGAAAGTCGCTGATTTGAAAGTAGAAAAGGAGAAGGAGTGTAAAAAAGAGGGGAATCAGAAGAATCCTCAAAAACACTTCTCTCAAAGCTCTTGAATTGCAGTTAAATAAAATACGGAACCTCCGACTGAAAAAAGAAACATTCAGTTAGTGTGATTATAATTCTCCAAACATTGGTAAATTGGATAAAATAATAAAATAAATAAACGAATAAACTTGTTTTTAACTATTTTGTGAGTACAGACAACACTTACTAATCGGTTGCTGGGTCAGTTGTTTCAGAAAAAGTAATTAGAATAGCCAATGAATCTTTGTTTAAAACTGGAATTTTAATTATTTTCTTATGGTTCTATGAATTTTTTTTAATAAAGGCTTAATATATGTTAGTTATAACAAATCAAAAACAATTAGAAACAAATACGGCACAAGTTTTAAACACTAAAAACTTAAAAATCACAACATATATTTCAGAAAAAGTAGTTCGTACCTTGTACTTTTGCTTATAACTGGAATTTCAGTTATTTTTTATGGTTATATAATTTTTTTTTTAAGGGATAAATATATAAGTTGATTACATTAAATTTAAATTAATTAGAAACAAATATCACATGAGTTTTAAGCACTAAAAGCTTACAACATAATAAAAATTTGCTATATATATTTTAAAAAAAATAGTTCGAATAATTTTTATGCATATCGTTTGTTTAAAACTAGACTTCTAATTGCTTTTGTTATGGTTATGAATTTTTTTTTTCTAAAAAATGTTTTAATGTAAGTGGATTAAAATAAATTGAAAACATTCAGCGAATAAATTTTAAACACTATAAAAACTTACAAAATATTAAAAAATACTACTTATATTTTAAAAAAGTAGCCCGAATAATTTTTATGTATCTTTTTCTAAAACTGGAGTTAGCTATTTTTCATTAATATATTATTTTTTAAAAAAAATTAAGGTCTAATATAAGTAGAGTAAAACAAATTAAAAACAATTAGAAAGAAATACGAAGCAAGTCTTATGCACTAAAAACTTACAACACGTTAGAAAATATATATCAAATGCTTAAAAAATTAGTCTGAAAAATGTATATGTACCGTTTGTTTAAAACTAAAACTTTAATGTATTTTTTACGGTTATATGAGTTTTTAAAAAGAAATTATGGGTTAATATAAGTAAATTACAACAAATTAAAGTTAATTCAAAACAAACATGGTGCAAGTTTTAAACCCGAAAATTTACAGAATATTAAGAAATTACAACATAGATTTCAAAAAAATAGTCCGAGAAATTTCCATGTGCCTTTTGTATAAAGTAGAAATTTAATAATTTATTTGTGATATTTTTTTAAAAAAAAGGTTTAACAAGTAGATTACAACAAATTAAAAACAGTTCGAAACAAATACGATGCAAATTTAAATTGAAATTGAAATAATTCACCAAGTAATATAGATATTAAAAATAATTCAGTTAAAGATCTTAAATTATCTGATAAAATATGACAGTGCTTAAAATGACTCAATAACTTTAAGACTGGGATTTTTCACGAAAATTTTTTTTAATTAAATTTGTTTACAAACTAATTTTATATTTGGTTATATTTTTGATTTAATTAGGAATTGGAAGACATATTATGCAATTGATTATTATCATGGTTATATGAATTTTTTTTTAAAACAATAAGCTTTGATATAAGTACATTACAACAAATTAAAAACAATTAGAAACAAGTAGAGAGCAGGTTTAAACACTAAATTATAATATATTAAATGATTTTCTTTTCATCTATTTTCCTACATCTAGATTTACTTTATGAATGATTTACATTTTATAACCATAGTTTCGATTAAAATGATTTCATTGTTTTTACTTAAAGTAATTTAAATTATACACTAAGTAAAATAAATATTTAAGAAAACCAGTTAAAGATTTTAAATACCAGACAAAATATGACAGTTCTGAAAATAACTCAATTAAACCTTTGATCTTTATCCTTGATTTTGTTTTTCAATTTAACTTGTGTAGGAAATAATTTCAAATTTGGTTATAAATCCAATTTAATTAAGAATTGGATGAATTATTATGTAATTGAAAATAATTTTCCAGGGAATATTTATGCAACACGGTGATAATGTACTGAATGCATCGATACTGCACCAAATTCTGTGATACTGTAATAAAATTTTATTGACCTTACCATACTAAGTTGCAGAACACTTGCCAACTAGATGGTTGACCATAAGCTGTAAGGGGAAGTTTATATCGAGCATCTTTTGATTCCAGTGCATCATTTTGTGGTGCATAAAATTTTCGGTAATGTCCACCTTCCATTTTAAATTTTTCAACCAAAGCTGATATTTGAGTACTAGATTCTATAAAACGCTCCCTTGTCCTTCTGTCTACGGTTGATAAACACACTGTTGAGAGAAAAAATATTAGTTAAGAATGACCAACAAAAAAGTTTTTTGAGAAAATAAGTAACTTCTTTAGCAGGTGCATCGCCATTATAATATGCTTTATAAGTTTCATATTTTTGAAAATCTACACTTAAAATCATGATAAATTTCTTTTTATCTTATTTTAATTATTATTTTATTTATTTTTATTTTTTATTATTTCTTTTTTGCTTTTATTTTTTATTTATTTTTTATTTTATTATTTTATTTTTATTTATTTATTTTATTTATTTATCTTATTTATTTACTTCATTTATTTATTTAATATATTTATTTATTTCATTTTTTTAGTTAGACATAAGAAACCATATTTTTATAAGTTTGAAATTATTATTACATTTTATTTACAAATATGTTACGACCAAAATCATATTTACAGGTGCTCAAAGATTGACCAAGAACTTTGACAAGACAATTGAGGAAAAAGGGGATTGTTTATTGCAGTTTACACTTATACTTATAAAATTAGTCTAAAGTCTTACACTTATAAAGTCTTACACTTACTAAAGTCTTACACTTATAAAATTATTTTCAAATGTTAATTAATTCTAAATAAATTATTTGTACAGGTTCTGTTAATTCCCCTTTCAGAATGTATCATTACTGCAAACTGTGGTCATTTCGAGAATATTATTCAATAGCTTTTCTGGTGTAGCATTAAGTGCTGAAAACTCTACTTTTGAAACTTTCTGAGAATAAAATATTTGGTTAGTTAAACAGAACACAGAAAATAACATATCTTATCTCCTTCCGTTTCTTTAATTCATTTTTTTTTATAATAAAGAGTCATTTTTGGGACTGCCAATATGTTGTAAATATCTACAGATTTTTATGCCCGTTTGTTGACGCATGTGAACATTTTTGAAACCTAATGACTGGATTAAATTTCAACAATGTTCACGACAGACTAATTAGCCTATCATGGTCTTATTTCAATTTTACATTTTTGTTACGCAATTTAAAAATTTCGCTTATTTATCCCGAGGAATAAATGAATTAAAGTGATATAAAGTGAAGTTTCTTACAAACATATCTATTTGCATCCAAATAGATACATTTCTTCTTGAGGGTTAAATTCTTTAAATAATCTAAAAGTCAAAATAAAGCTTATTCTGAAATATCTGTTTTTGTAACATTGAAAAAGTTAAAACTTGTTTTTATTTATTCCTTCATTCATAAATTTAACTTAAGAACGTACAGATCTGAAAACATCCCTCATTCTTTGTGGTTTCAAAAAATTGTATTAACAATAAAACAAAGTTGATCCAATCGGAAGACATTTCCACATTACCACTGCAACTGTTACAAAATTTGCATCTGTTTTTGGTTCATAATATTTTGAAATTGAGTTTACAAAGAAGCCATAAATGATCGAGCAGTTGATTACACCATATCATCCATCATCCCAAATTTCTTTAATATTAAAGAAATAATTTTATATTTCTAGTAAACATTAAAGTAAAATTTAATTTACAAAGAAGTTAAAACTTCTCGAGCTATAAATTATACCTTAAGCATAGCTAATAATAACTAAATATTATTATTAGTTTAACAATAAATAGAATGTAGCATACATTATGAAAATATTTTTTTCAAAAATTAAAATTGTTTCTCATAAAAACAATCAGTAAAATATTCATAAAAATGATGTTTTAAAGCGGTACCCTTCTTGTTAACTTTAAAGAATAACGGTAAATTTTTAAGTTCACGAAAATATTTCACAACTTAAATTTTAATTGGAAATAGCTCAGTAAAAGAGTAAGCATTAAAAATAAACAGGAAAAATTAAAAAAAAGTTTTTTGAAATAGTTTAAAATTGAATGGACGTAAACATTTTATACAGGACAGTTAAAAATAGCAAAATCTTAACAATGTGCAAATAATTTGCATGAAAATTTTTCATCAAGAAAAAGTCTTGAATAAATATACATAAACATTTTATTTGTTTCGCCTAAGCAGTGGAGTAAAGTATGTGTTGTTTAAATTGCTGTCGTTTATACAAAATCAAAAAATCCATTACGTTTTCACGTTTAAATAATACGGAGCTTGCTCCTCTAGTATTGGTATTAAAAACACATCTATAACTTTAAAAAATCCTAATAGTAAGATAAAAAATATTAAAAATGCGTCTAAAAAGTACAATATTGATAACATAAATTCCAATAGAACATAAATAATAAAATCTAATTCATATATAACAAAAACATTTCATACATTTGAAAAGCTAGATTTGAGTTTCCAATTTTCTGTGCAATACTTACAATAATACATTAGGGGATTTTCTAGTTCTGGACATGGGAAACCAATGCTACCGAAATAATCCAAAAGCATCCTAGTGCTACCTATAAAATTTATAAAAGTAAGAAATAAATACTATGGTGTAAGTTTAATACAGCGAAAAAATAGAAAAAATAATTGTCTAATTTTATTTAAAACATTGCATACAGTCCTTCATAAAGAACAGTATTAAAATTTCTTCATAAGCTCATAGGAATTGTTTCATTTAATTTGGAAAAATTATTTTTAAGTATTCAATTCTGTTAAATTTTGTCAAATAACAGCATTTGTTTAAATGAAGTAACCTTTTTATTTCATAAATTTGATTTGAAATTTTTTTTGCAATATCAAGAAAAGAGGTGTTAGCTTAGTTATTAATAAATTGTCATGAATATATGAAATAGGGTATTCTACAAAATGTGTTAAATCAACAGATAAAGTAGGAAATGAATAATAATTTCCATATTAGTATCACTACTCTATAATGGGTAGCGTACAGGCATTCTATACAATGATTAGTCAAAATTTATAATGTTCATGCTTCATACTGTGACTAAAAACGTCTATTTTTTCCATACAAAGGCTAAACATTCTACAAAATGTCGGCATTAACATACAGTGATGGCAGTAAATACATAAATTTATCGATAACGAAAAACAATGTTAACTTTTTCTGATAACTTTTTGAAAATAACTTTTTTCTTAGAATAACAAACAATTTTAAATTTTAATAATTTCTTAGCATTGATAATTACGTTCCTATACGTTTCAAAGATTTATCAACTTTTTCAAATAATGAAAATAAATTGCTAATTTTTTTATTTTTTAGAAAAGGAGTAGGGTTTATACTAAAGACATTTCAAGTCACTGAATGAATCAAACTCTGGAAATCCAGATTTCCGTTTTTACTGACTTATGTATAGAATTTGAACCAAACTTCCAAATTTTGTTTATGCACTTAGTTATGAGAATATTGTTCATGGAATCGTTAATAGGAATAATTATATTTAAGTTTCACGTGTAGACTTTTAAACATAAGTTTATCTTTTTCTTAGAAAAATACAAAATTTCATCTCGAGGTCAAAAAGTAATTTACCTGTATATACTACTTCTCCTAAACTTAAATACGTCACTCTATCAAGGAAGGGAAATATATCAGATCTTGGCTTTTCCATACTCAAAATGACGATGCGATTATATTTTTTGGCATGGTTTGATAAAATAGAGATGACGAAATATGTGTTCAAGGGATCTAGATCGTACGTCGGATCATCTAAAAGAATCATAACTGCAAAAAATGATGTTTAGTTAATTTATCAATTTAAAAAGTAATGAATTGAATTAAAATAACACAAAACCAAACTGCTGATGCCCAAAGCAGATGATACTTTGTAGAAAAGTTATTTATAATTTCGACGATATAAAGATAGCAATACATAAATACAAAATTTTAAGCAGATATTTGTATAAATTTTTATTATGCAAGTATGCAAGCATGTGCACTATGCTACAATGTACCTTGCAAATTCAATTTTATTAATTTTCAATAATGCATAATAGTAAGTGAGCTATGGTAAATTTTCAAAATTAATTTTAAGAAATCTATTTATAAATTGCTTGAAAAAATTATTTAAAATGGTTATTTTCAGAAATTATTCCTAAATTAAAAAAATGTAGTTCAATGAACTGTTTTTCACCCATGTTTGATTATTACATAATCCCTTTAAAAAATTGAATTTTACATTTTGTAATACAGATATATCATACAAAAATAATTTTATGCTGCATGTAAGTGATGAATTATCTCTTTTAAAAAAGTTCAGACAATGTTTTAGCTTTAACTTCAATGTCTCAATGACCCAGTAGAAGTAATTTATACATATATATATACAAATTGAGGCTGAACAAGATGGAAAAATAAACTTTACTGGGAGATAGAATGCATCTACAAGAACAATATTCATTATTGAATGTTATTCAAGAATAATATTCATGATTGGAACACAAGAAGTGAGTAATTAAAAGGTAAATTTTCACTGGCATATTTAAGGAATTTCTGCTTCAGAAAACTTTTTGCTCACGGAAATACGATTGATGTACAAAAAAATTGCTCAAAGATAAAAAAATGTATTTGATGTACTATTTGATGTAATTTCTTATAGAAATAGCTCAAAATATCTTCCTCCAACTGCAATGCAGGCTTCCCACCTGCGGCGTAAGGACACACAGTGTGAAAATAAATGGACTACCCTGAATAACTTTTGATCTAATGATCGGATCTTCATGTTATAGGACATTACAGAAATGATTCTAGGGAGTTGCCTCAAATATGGTTTTCAATCAAATATGATTTGATTTTGCAACTTAATATAACTCTGAACTTATTAATTAGCATATTTGAGTTCACACCTTCGAGCCATTAAGATTGAGTCCTAGAAAGTGATAATCCAATCATTGGATCAAAAGTTCTTCAGAGTGGTCCGTTTTCTGCGGCGCACTGCGCATTTGTGAATACAGCAAACAATTTCTTTAAGCATCTCTTGTAGCAATTCTTTGTATATCAATTACATATTTTTCCTCAGAGCAATTTCTTTGTATATCAATTATATTCCCTCTTATGTAAAAAGTTTTCTAAGGGATCCTTCCCTATTCTTGCTTTAATTCTATAAATGTTACAGTGGAAAACTAACTTTTACCTTCTCACTGATATTGTTCCGATAATACATTCCATGACGAATTTTGCTCTCGTAGATGCGTTCAATCACCCAATAAAGCTTTGCCGTCGTTCTCAGGCTCACCCTGTACACAGTCTTTATGACCTTGACTATGTATACCTAACAGTATTCACTACATTTTTAGCAACTTTCTTAATTAACTTATCAACACTAAATTACATATTTATACCTGGATCTTTAACCAATTCTATTCCAATGGCTAACCTACGATATTCACTAGGTTTAAGACAGCTGACTTCACGATTGGAAACCTGATTCAGTGCCAAATCAGCCATTACTTGCTTCACCTGCAACCAAAAGTTTTATAATGCATTATACTACTTTCAAACATCCAACTATCATTTGATCACATAATATTGCAATTAATCACCCTGCTTCTCTTCATAGATTTCGACACTTTGGTTCCTATGGTAAGTTGAGCAGCATACATAAGGGTCTGTCGGACTGTCATCCCAGGTAGAAGTGTCACTTGCTTGGGCACAAATCCGCATTGTTCTTGAAATAATTGCAGATTTAGGGATATTTCATTCAACATTATTTGCCCCCTGGTAAGTCCCATGGCTCTGCGTCCGATTACTTCAAGCAGAGCTCGTTTTCCACTGCCTGCATTAAAATGGTATTTAATATAATAAACATTAACATAATATTTCAAACCTAAATTTGCACTCATTCTTAATTATGTAACGTTAGGACATATTGATAAATAATAAACATTTGTAAAAATTAAGGAGGAAGAAATGAATTTTTGGGTTAAATGTTTTTTTTTAGGTGTTTGGGTTAGAAATGAAAATACAATTACATAAAGTGCCAGTTTTGGCATTTATACAGTAGAAATAAATTTGTATTTTCTCCTTAATAAGTGTTTATCAGTTTATTATTGCTAGTATAAGCTACAATTCAACAGTATTTTTTTTTCAAATGGCCGCCTGGATAATGACCTAGGTCATACAGGCACCTGAAAGGCAGACTGCAGACTTGTTGGCCACTCTTTCAGGGGCACCATATTAGGTGGACCAGCGTTGCTCCCACAGTAAGGACAGATAGTACAGAGAAGGGAAGAACATCCATGCCTTGCCCGGGATTCGAACCCAGAACCTTTCTGATGAAAGGGCAGTTCCCTAACCCCTTCCCAAACCCTGTCGGTCGATTCATCAGTATAAATATAAGTAAAATTTAAGTAAGTAAAAATTAAGTACATTTACTTTTGTAACTGTGAAATAAGCTGGAAATATAAATTTATAATATTCATAACAATTAGGTTTTTTCTATACGCTGTTTTAATTTAGAAATGCATAATTACGTTAGCGTGTATTTTCAGGAAAAGCTATAATGGTTGCTAACACGTAATTACTTATGTATATTGACATTTTTAGAATCCATGTATGGTTCACCGAGAGCAAATTAATGTAAGTTATTCCTATGCAGTTAATTTTGATGTCTTATCCTTATGTATAGAGTAACATTGTAATACAAATATAAATTTTTATACACACACACATTATTATAATTAATAATTTCAATTACATTTGCTTGAAGTTAAACATCATTAAACAATTTACGGTTGGCAAAATATAATACCTATCAAATTTTCAAACTATCATTGCAAATGATATTTATAGATAAAACCTATTGTGAGCTGTAGATTAAACATATGAACACTAAAAATACCTTTTGAGCCAAGAACAGCCATGACTTCTCCAGCATGAACTTCCATAGACACATCTTTCAGAACAGTGCCAGTAGGAACAGAGCCAGAAAGTTTTTGGAAACAAGAACCCGGTTCTACTTGACCAGTGTGAAAGACGCTGTTCAGCTCCAAGACATGATCAGCAGTTATTGTTGTAGGACCTAAAAATTAATAAATTAATTGAAAGAATTTGAAATAAAAAAAAATTGTGCTATTTTGTGCTCCCTTAATTTAAACATAAAAGATTCTAAAAGAAACTTCCATATAACGTAACACAACAGAGAAAAATATTTTTATATACGTTTTTTTCCTAATGTTTTGTGTGTTTTGTTTTCAATTTCATTTTCTTATGAGAAAATCGTTGGTAAGTCGTTTTTTAATTTTTGTGTCAAATTACATTTTACAAATTGGGGTGACTTTTCTTCACTAGAAAACGATTCATAATAATCTTGAAAGCAATATATTATGTTTAGAAGAAAACTATATTTTGTAGATGCCATTTTTTTGCTGTGATTTTCGTCTGAAAACACCATTTCTAAATGTATTGTTGTCACAAATGAAACTATACTTTCAACAAAAAGTTTATAGCAAACTATAATTTTTCAAATAATTAAAAAAAATTCAAATAATTAAGATTATATTTAGAACTGATTTCATACCCAGATAAGAGAATTAAAACTCTCATTCAATAACAAATTTTCAGAATAAGTTATGTAATTTTAAACTTGGTTTAACACTCAGTGTAATTTTATTACATAGAAATTAGAGAATCCTAGTTTTATAGTTAAAAAACTTAAACGTATTCAACCTTTAAAATTATCTTTATTATTATTTTGAAACATAAAAGTTTAATAAGAATCGTCAATAATTAATACTCATAAGTTAATTTTTTCACGTTTAATAGTTTTATAAATTTATATTTATTTTATGACATTTCAGACATGACTTACTCCATCATATTGATTTTAAATCTAGTGAAAATGCTTTCTGGGAAACAAAACTACCTTGAAGTTTTCTTAAGTGGGTGTAACAAAGTAAAGAACAATGAAAAAGAAGCATCTTTACAAAGTCACGGCCAACTACATTGATGATGTCGAATGTCAAAGAGTTAAAAGATTGTTTTACGCCTGTTTTTATGTTAGTTAAATTGAAAAACAAAAAACACAATGGTATTCAGATTATCTCAATGTAGAGTGCGCAAGAAAAGGACCAACCAGAATAACTTTTGATCTAATAATTAGATCTTAGCATTCTATGATTCAATCTTAATGGTTCTAGGAGGTGACTTCCCACACGCTAGTTAATTAGTGCAGACCATATTTTAAGTTACGAAATCAGACATAAAAGCATACTTTATTTGATTAGATATATCTTTTTCTTTCGACAGATTCGGATTTTTGATCAAAAAAGTATGGGGGGTATCCACAATCCGGCAAATATGGTCCCAATAGTTTGAGAGCTGTCCAAAGTTTGGACACCTTAAGGTTAATTTTACTTTCTGCGACATAGCTCAAGAATTTTTAAGTGAATTAAAACATTTTTGCACACAATTATAAAATTCTTTTATCCAAAGCAAAATATAACTCTACAGGCAAAATATAACTTTTAATAAATACTTATTATCCTTTATTATTTCATATAATAATAGCCAAAAATATTTTGAATTGTAAATTATAAAAGTTTTTACATTTTTTTAAAGAATGTAATTTTAAATGGAAAAAAAAATTGAGACAAATCAGTTGAAAAGATCCTGAGAAATCAAATTTTAAAAAAGCCGTGCTTTTAAAATTCGATTGTCTTCAAATTTTGTATTTTGCTATTTAAAATTACCTTCTTTAAAATGAAGTAAAGATTGTATACCTTACAATTCAAATTTGCTTCGATCATTATTAATAATATTAAATAATAAAGTTATAATTCGGTCCAAAAAACTTATACCCCTTAATGTTATTTTCGCTTTTTACGCATTTCGCTATATCTCGAAAACTTTTTAAGCGAATTAAGAAAATTTTGCAAACGATTATAAAATTAGTTTAGTTTATGGTTCTGTGATCCATGCAAAAAATAATTTTTTCTAAACATTTATTATTTTTTATTAATTTATTTAATAGCACGTTTTACTTAAAATTAGTTTTCACAGGAACTATTCGACCGATTTCGGTCAAAATTTGCATTTTGCCATGTAAAATTACATTCTTCAAAATGATAAAAACAATTGTATACTTGACGATTGAAAATTTTTTCGACTGTTATTGAATAAAATAATAAAAAATAATAAATATTTACTAAAAGTCATTTTTTGTATGGAAATATCTTTGGATAAGCGAACTTTATAATTGTGTGCGAAATTTTTTCAATTAACTTAAAAAAAATTCGGGATATTGCGAAATACGCAAGAAGTAAAATTTGCAACAAGGAGTCTAAACTTTAGAACGCTCTCCTGACCTAACTATGGGAACTATATTTCCCAGATGAGGCTACCTCCTATATTTTGGGGATCAAAACTCCGAATCTTTGGAAAAAAAAGCTATGCTTATTCAGAGAAAGTAAGTTTCTGTTTCTGATTTTGTAACTTAATTAACATATTTGAGGACACCCTCTTGAACCATTAATATAGACACCTAGAATGTGAAAATGAATTTTTTGAGCCCGGTACTTGTAAAAAATTGGTTTATTAATGCATAAAATTGTTTTTTTTTAAGAACAATTTTAATAAATCAGTACTTTTTACATGTAAACTGAAGATGAGCCGCGATGGCTCAGGGGATAGAGCGTCCGCCTCCCAATGAGGTGACCCAGGTTCGATCACAGCAACGGCTGGTCGATAAGAATCTTGCACCGACCACAGTGCTGAAGTAAAATATCCTCAGTGGTAGACGGATCATAGGTGAGAGTCCCCTTGCTGTCAGGCTAACCGTGGGAGGCTCTCGTGGTCTTCCTCTTCATGTAATGCAAATGCGGGTTAGTTACATCAAAAATGTCCTCCACGAAGGCAAATTTCTCCAAATACTTGTTCCTGGGGCTACCTTGTCTTCTGGATTGGGTTCAAAATTACAAGGCTACGGAGCTGAACATTTGTAGTCGTAAATTGGGTCGGCTGTTCAACGACGGTTATAAAATATAAATAGATAAAAAGTTTGGGGCTGATATCTTTTTAAATGGTTGCTATCATTTTTTCTTATGTGGCTAGCACAAATATTTCATCATAAGCATTTCCGAAATCATGACAGTTTTTCTCGAGAGACATACATATTACGTTTGTATTTGAAATCAGAATGAAATTCATTTTGTTGAAACTGATATAGTATCTCAGTTTCAAGCAATCAATTATTCAAGCATCTACAAACTAGCTCTTTGCTCGCAATAGCATATTTATCATCATTGTAATTAGGCATTAATCAGCTATTTCAAACTGCATGAAATACCAATTATTTATAAATAAAATGCTTTCGATGTCCAAGACTTAATCGAATTAGCATTTTTTGGCCTTATTTTGTTCGATAATTTAAAAAGGCAAAAATAAATAAATGAAATTATCTTATTTTTTGAACATCGTCAAAAATTTTTAATGTTGCTTCACTTTTATCACAATCAGTCAATCAATAAAGGTTTAGAGACAATCCTCTTACAGATCAAAATTCTAAACAACTTTAATATTTAAAGTTTTCTGAATAAAGTAAGTAATAATAATAAAAAGTAAGCAAATTTAATGAAATTACAGAATAGCGAAGTAATCAAAAACTGATATGACTAATTTTAAGACTTTACTTTCAAGATTTATTCTTTTTTGAAAAAAAATATTTAATGAAGTGTTTTTCATCCCGATTCTACACTACAGGGTAGTTTTCCTACTTTTAGCATAACCACCTATGATCACAAGTATTGATTTCACATATCCGGTAAAATTTTATTTACTCAAGAATTTCTTCTGAAAAATATATGATGGATTTAGAATGTCACGCGCACATTTTAAATAAATAGTAAAAAACCATCTTTCAAGATTCAATACACAAAATAACGTGATGAAAGAATAAAGCAGAAAAAGATATTAACATAAACATCATGTAATTTTTAAAAAAAAATCTACTTTTAAGTTTTTATATAGATAATTTTATTTTAATTAATTTATTCAATTAGTATAAAAACTTTTCCAATGCTATTTTTATACTACTTTTCTCAATCTTTATGTTTGCTTCAAAATACACATTTCAAAAGTAATTATATTTGTTCATAATACAAATATAATATGTAAAAAAATACACATAATTATCATCAACGCAATGGAATTATCTAAATTCTAATTACTTTGTTATCTGCTCTTTGATGCTGGAAATAAATTTATGATAAAATAATTGAAAAACACACTCTACGAACAAAAACAAATTATGTCAGAAAATATAATTAAATATGATGAACTTTCAACATACGTAATAATTGCATACTTTGATAAATGAACTCGGTATCTGAATAATTAATAATAGCATATCATAAATAATTATTTGGATGTAGTTCAAGGAAATATATTAACGAAGTTATTAGAAAAAAATGCTATCATAAAATGATGCATTTAATGATTTAAATCGCTCGTGGCAAAAGAAAATAAAAGTGAATAAATCCTGTGAAATCTTTCCACTAATAAAAGTGTTGCATGCTTCGTAGAATTAACCTTAATTGTGACAATGGAGAAAACTTTCAATCTTAGTTTTGAATTAAAATCGAAATTTATTGTTTACGATTGTTAATTTCTCAATTTCACTGTTCCCATTTCTAAAGAGAAAAAATAAAAATAACACATTCTATTCAAAGTTGCAACTTAAAATAAATCATATCGGTTGATTGAGGTCAAAGCGAGAAAAGATGGCACGCAAGAAATACGTGTCTTCTAAATCACTGTTCTGCGTGTCCACAATGTATCAATTATAGAAAAGAAAGCTTAAAAATAAAACTCACAGTTTTCCAAAAATGAATTTCACATGCATCAGAAAGCCCTTTCTCTGGGATTTGTTTTTAATTTTTTTTATTTTTATATATTCATGTGACAAACCAAAAAAATGATTAATGCTAACTATTTTTTTTTTCAGTTATACTAATTTTTAATTGATTATGTTGTGCGTGTTCACTGTTCTGATCACTGTTCTGCGTGTTCACAATGTATCTATTA